CCCCCCCCCCCAGTGTGAGGCTTGCCAGAGCAGCTGAGGGCTGGCAACACTAGTTAATGTAATCTGCCCTGACAGTCTGTCTGAGGAAGACATTTTTAGTTGGAGCTGAGGTCATCTCTGAATGACACCAAGAATATTCCAAACGCAGCTAAGATCCACACCATATTTTATAAGCCTTATGTGTGTAATAGTATCATGTTTTGTGTGTGTGTGTGTGTGTCAGGGATGTGGGGCTTCCACGATAGAGACCTGATGCTGAGGAAGTCTCTGTACACCATGATGAAGAGCGGAGCGGAGAGAGATGCCCTGAAGAGGAGGTGGAGGTGGCAGCAGACCCAGCAGAACAAGGAGGTTGGGAAAGCTTTGATTCATTGCACGCCACGTTTCACGAGCGACACTTCGATAAGAGAGCGTGAACAGACGAGCCGCTCCAAGCCTCAGCTTTTAAGAGCCGATTGAACCGTCTTTTGCTAAGCTGCACTTTTAGGTTCTTGCTGCAAGGAACGTTGTCACTCCAGTACTGTTGTGGCGCAGCTAATGCTGTCAAATCCTCCCTCCTGCGTCTCCTGATGTCCTGATGTTGGATTAAAGTATTTTCAAATCTATTAGGAAAAGTGTGTCACCAAAGATAGCTCGGGCAGAGAAATAGTCCAGATGCTCATGTTTTAAAAATGCCCAAGGCGTCTCGTTGGCCCAGTGATCTAAGATGTATCCCATAAAACTCAGTGTTCTGGTCTGAGTGTTGCATACTTTCTCAAATTATCAACAGGAAGATATATGTGCCCATACTCCATTCTTTTAATCAAATGTACAAATAGAAACGTCAGTGTGCGAATGCAAAAAGCTCCAAATAACTGATGGGATACAAAATAGCAAAAATATCCAAACACTTGTGATTATTTAAGTTAATGTGCTGAAATCTGGGGCAATAATTACAAAACTACACTACAGGTATTAACAATACTACAAAAAAGAGCTATAAGAATAATCCATAAGGTGGGATATTTAGAAAGCACTAATTCAATATTTGTAAAATCTGAATTATTAAAGTTAATTGACATAGTGAAACTACAGACAGCTCTTAATTCTTTACAAAGCCAAAAATGAACAATTACCGGAAAACATTCAAAACCTGTTTGACTAAGCAGCAAATGTATAAGTTACAGAGGGAATCACAGTTTGAAATATGCACATTCAGAACTATTAGAAAAAACTTTTGTGTATCAGTAAGTGGGGTCAAACTGTGGAATAATTTAAATATTGAACTTAGACAATGTCCAAACATAAAACTGTTCAAATTATTATATACTGTATTTTTCAGACTATAAGGCACACCGGGTTTTAAGGTACAATAAGCTAAACGAAACAGATAAGTAAAACTTTATTCAACTCATTCACAATAACCGCATAAAATCGGTTTGAGGTCAGTAAACACAACCAGAGTTAATACATAAGGTGCACATGATTGTAAGAACAAAAAAAGGTTAAATCATGTCATCTGGACCAATTTCTCCCTCAAAGATACTGGTCCAGATGACATGATTTAACCTTTTTTTGTTGTTATCTACCAGGATGATTGAGCTTACAGCCTTTTTTTTACCTGATTATAAGGCTTGCTGTCGATTTTCAAGAATATTAAAGGATTTTAAGTGCGCCTTATAGTCCGAAAAATACGGTAAACATATGACTATTGCTGGATATAATATATCATATTATTATTCAATTATTGTTGGTGGGGGGTTTTTAATGCTACTTTTGTTTTTTGGTGAAGTTAAAAGAAATAATAATTGTTCATCTACTGTAGCTAAATTAAATAGATAATATATTGATGGGTTCACTATTAAATAAGGGTTTAGTTGTTATATGTATGGATTATACATGTACTAAATGTAAGATTATGTTTATATAAAAGTTTATACTTCTACCCACTCCCTTGAATTCAATTCGATAAAAATAAAAATAAAAACTTTATTAATCCCCAAGAGAAATTATTTGTTGTTGCAACTCTAAATTCTAGAATTTGTAAAACAAAAAGTTTTGACATTGTGCTTCATGCTGTATTTTTTATTTTTTTACATATTCAAAAAAATTAAACCTAAAAACTAAATAGATTAGCTTGTGAGTGGGCCACAGTTTAAACTTGTGGAGTGTGTTTTTGTGCAGTCGGGGCTGGTCTACACCGAGGAAGAGTGGGGGAGAGAGTGGAACGAGCTGCTGAAGTTGGCCTCCAGCGAGCCTCGAACTCATCTCAGCAAAACTGGGAACGCCAGCGGAGGGTAGGACCATCATCTCACAAACAAGCGCACAGCGAACCACCAAGACCCCTTCCTTACTGCATGCTCTAGTTCTCTGTTCCTGCTCACACGTGTCTTTTTGTGCGAAGTGAACAAAATGAAACTACTCCCTCTACTGGCTGCCACTTAAACTATTTGTTTCTCCTCAAGAAACCCCCCAATCCCACGAGCTGCGTGTCACTTTTAGCTGCAGCACGTTGCATAAATAAAGTGTGGCTTTTTGTCATGCAGCAGTGGAAGACTGGAAACTAGCTTTGGTTTCGTTCACCTACGCAGAAAAACCCTGTGGTCTGTCACAGTTTCCATCATCGCTGAAATAAACAGACGTGTGGTCTCACGTGCTGTAAATGTTAACTGGGAGAGCAAAACCATCCGTGATTACAAAAGAAAGCTTTCTGCTAAGATTGAAGTGTAACAATTGTAGCAAAATGATCAAATAAATTAATTAATTAAAGAAAGAAATGGACACGTACAAGTTTTCAAAGAATTTGGCTTCATATTAAAGACAAAAAAAAAACATGTCATAAAACTCTAAACAAGTTAAATCTGGTCCTCTGGACATTCAAAAAAACAAAACAAAGCAAATCAACAAAAAAATGTAGAAACGTTTCGTCTCTCATCCGAGAGACTTCCTCAGTCTGAGGAGCTGTATTCAGCTCAGTCTCTTAAATAGCACCGTCTCAGGGTGGATCAACCAGTTTTGCTGCTGACAACCAAAACCAGCTGATCACATCTACATTTTTTTGTTGATTTGCTTTGTTTTGTTTTTTTGAATGTCCAGAGGACCAGATTTAACTTGTTTAGATTTTTCTACCTGGATTATTGAGCATGCATCAGGACATGTCATAAAACATTTCAGTAAAATGTCTGGAAATCAGAACATAATAAGACATCTTTAAGTAGCCTTTTAATGCAATCTGAGACATTAATGTTGGCCAATAAAATAAACATTACACTCTGCGCTACAGTTTGCTGGAGGTGGTAATTCCTCGGCAACAACAACACGATTGTTTCGTAATGATTATCACTGCAGTGCAAAGGCCTCCATCACTGGAAATGTCCCTTTCAAGGGTGAAATTTACTCATTTATTCGGGGGGGTGGGGGTGGGGGGTCACCTCTCATTGAGTTTCACAGTAATAAAGTAATAAGGTTAGGGTTGTTTGATGGTGCTAGTGTGAGATGAGCCTCTGAATGGGCTGAGTGGGATTCACATATTAAGAGGCTCTTTATTAGAAGCAGCCCGGCTGTTTGTGAGGCTGACAACTTAATTGTTGCACATTTTCCAACTCCCTCATGGTTGAGAGCTACACCTTTAGTTGTTTTTTTTTTTCATTCAGGAACTCGTACAAGAAAATGGACAGTGTCTTACCTTCAGGGCCTTCACAGGAAAAAAAAATATTCAAAAGTCTGGTTACACAGGCAAAACAGGCTTAGGATTATTTTTGGAGTTTTGCTATAGCTTGGATTTGTGTGTGTTTTCACAGGGTGGATAACTCCGAGGATCCGGTCTACGAGAGTTTAGAGGAGTTCCATGTGTTTGTGTTGGCCCACGTGCTGCGCAGGCCAATTGTAGTGGTGGCTGACACGATGCTCAGAGACTCAGGAGGAGAAGGTACCTAAACTGCATTTTGATTGAATTTGACATGATGAACCTGACTGTTCTACTATGTGGAATGTTTATTAATAATAAATATCTTACCTGTTAAAGATAGCTCTCAGTTTGAAGAAATAGGCTGTGTTTGAAATCTTCCCTCACTCACTACATCTTAGGCTACGTTCACACTGCAGGCCCGGTGTGTGTGCATGCATGCGTGTGTGTGTGTAGTTGTTCACATTATAATTTAAATGACTCTCATCAGACTCCAGTGTGAATGCTGTATGGCCCTGAAGCGGCTCACATCCACAGAAGAAGCTGTGACTAGGCCTGTCACGATAACAAATTTTGCTGGGCGATCAATTGTCTCAGACATTATTGCGATAAACGATAATATTGTTTGACAATAATTAGTAATAATTGTCAAATTTAAGAAGAAATGTTGGTAAATTTTTGTGTGTAGTACCTTTTCTTGACCACTGGATGGCAGTATAAGACCATTTGAACTGAAGGATGGATAGTGAGGGAGCCAGCAGCGTGTCTCTTTAAGAAAAATGCGAGGGAGGCCCCTTGACGTGACATGGGCTGTCTCTCTTTCCTGTTTATCAGTTCTCAAAATGGCAAACACTCTGTGTGGTTTGAGCTCTTTAGCATAGCATTTGTCACACAAAGCTTTTAATAAAAATCAGTAAACAAGTTCTCAGCTTCTTTTTGCAGAGAAAAACAACTTTTTACACAAAAGCACGGGTTTCAACCGTGAATTTGGAGCTTCGACAAGACAGAGGTTTTTTCCCGAGATCGGCCTGTTAGCTTAGCTCGTAGCTTAGCTTCTAAACTTAGCTGCTTTTAATGTAAAAATGGATTTTAAAGTGAAAAGAGAAAGGGAGGGGTCAGTGAAGAGCACCAGAGTTGAGCCAGTGTCTTCAGTAGAAAAAGAGAGGCATGAAGAAACGATAAAGCCGATAAATAAAAATGAGGTTGATAATTTTCATTTATCGTGCGATTAAATGATTTATTGTTTATCGCGACAGACCTAGATGTGACGTCACACGCGGTGTTTACAGCAGTAAATATGGATGCTACACATGTTAGCATGTGTGTATCAAGTCTGAAGTTGTGCAATCAGAACCAATTAAATTAATATCTGACATGAAACCAAATCAGACACATTTGCCCACAGTGGGAACGTAGTCCTAGATTCTACCCCAAACCAGTACATCTTGGCTTGTTCACTTCAGTGTTGAGTGTCCTAACTCTTTCCATGATGCAGGGTGATGTAGCTTGTCAAAAATGTATGGAAAATTTATAAAAACGGAAAAAATACATGAACAGTAAATGAAAATACTGTTGTACGTTGCCATCCATTAACCACTGACCATTTGTATGTATTCTGATGGGTTATGTTTAGTATTTTAGTTAATATGCCTTGTCAAATATAAAAAGTTACAATTCAGATAGTTCTTACAATATGGGCATACAGACTAAGTCTAAGTCAAAGAAATCAGCAGCTATTGATGGTGTATCAGCAATATGAATGGGATAATTGTAGATTATGTTCACCATTACACTTCATGAGCTAAATTCAAAGATCCATGGGTGGAGATTAGACTGAAACAAACAAAAAAAAAAATCAAAGAGAGATTTGGTTCCTGACTCAAGTCTCCCACAGAATTGGAGCGAAAACCCAAGTGACACCATGTTTTATCTCAATGCCAGCATTTGCTCCCATCCCATTTGGAGGGCTCTACCTGCCCCTGGAAGTGCCTCCGAGCCGCTGCCACTGCTCCCCTCTGGTCCTGGCCTACGATCAGGCCCACTTCTCTGCGCTGGTGTCCATGGAGCAGAGAGATCAGCAGCGAGAGCAAGGTAAGCAGAGGCCGATGGCACCTACAGGTTGAACTCATTCGTATACACCTTCCAGACTCAAAATGGCAACTTTTACTGTTAGTCTAGTGGGAGGAGGAGTGCAGGTAAGAGGTCTGCCTGCCCTGCATTAGGTGAATTATTTAGAACAGCAGTCTAATTACACGTGATTCATTTTTAAAGCAGGCATCAAGCAGGGAGTGGACAACATGAAGGAACTGACTTAAGAGTTGCTAAAACTTTTCAACCTTTCAAACCTGCTGCACATTTCTCATCTAATGCCCGTGTCGTGTGTTTGTCTGTGATATGGAGCTCTGCAGAGCTTAGTGACTGCGTTGAGTTGTGGCAGGGGAAGTCCAGATTTTCCGTTGCGCAGGGCGATTCTTGTTTTTGTTTTGTTTTGCCCGTTCCGATGCCAGCGCTCCCACTCCGGATGCATTGCTTATTCTCGAGGTCAGAGCATTCCCGACACGACGTTCCTTTAACTGAGTAATAGAGTGGATCTCCTTGACAACCAGCCTCAGCAGTCACGGCACTCTTTCTACGTCTGACTCTGTGGGAGGAACTCGCCTGTCACTTGCGTGGGCAGCCAGCCAAATCTGTCTGTGTTTGTTTTTCTCACCCTCGAGTGCAGGCACACTTATTTCTTTCTTCCTCCCTGTCTTCCTCTTTCGCCTTTTCTTTCAATCTGCCACATTTGACTGAAAAGTCACTCCTTTAATGCCCCCAGCAGCACATTAAAAGTCCTCCCACCCTACAGTCCTGAGCACTTCATTGAGTGTTTTACTTTGAAGGATGGTGTTTCTCCTCTTGTCCACCAGATGGTGCATATGTCCAGACAACCTGCTCAGTCACAACACTCCTGCATGGCTGTAGTTTTTTTTTTTTTTTACATCCTGGTACACTGTGTCCTCCTGTGATAAGATCAGAAAGTCTGGAGTCTCTCCAGGATGTTATGAAAACAGTTGTACCCTGAACGTGGTGCATTTGTATGCCCTGTGATAACTAATTTAACGCAGCCAAGATACTAATCTGTTTGACTCCCAGTAAACTTTTAATTGTGTCTGTAAAGGCATGTTGTGTTGTTGCATGACGTGATGAGATGTTACTAACAGGGCCTTTTCCAAGATCTTAAATTACAAGAAGCAGATATGAGGTTCATGTTTCTGAACAGATGCCAGGCAGACTTAATCTGTTCACTGCTAATTAGGGCCGAGTAGCCCCAGCCCGTCCCTAAGCCCTCTTCACATCACTGATTATGGGCAGGGTCCTGGGCTGCTGGGGCCCCAGCTACCCAACAATCCCCACAGACAGTCAGGCTACTGTGTGGACGTCTCAGGTGGAGGTAGCTTTTTAGTTTCCTCACAGTCAGCAAAAAAACATCTGAGGGTCTTGTGGCCTTGTGTGTGTTCAGGTGTCAGTCTGGGTTTGAATACAGGCTCTTTCTTTGGCTCCTCTATAAGAAAAGTTCTTCTAGTTCAGCTTAATCAAACTGACAGATCCTGTTTTGGCTCTTTTTACGGGCTGCTGGCATGGCATACTGGGCTACAAAAACACGAAAGGGCTGACTGAAGCTGTGGATGATAGCTTTGAGATCAAAACTTTATTTTACCTCAGTTTTTATTAGGATAACCCAGAAGAGCTGTTAACTAGTTCTAGAGCAACGTACTGAACCAACAGTTCAGGGAGTGTTTTCCCATCCAGCCCACTGCCGCTCCCCTGCTGTGTGATAATGACTTGCTCCTGAGTAGATGCTGCTGGTGGTCTTTTATCTGGTCGTTTGTGTTTTTGTGGTCAAGCAATGTATGAGAGGAATTGACCCTCTGGAAAACTCTTGAGCTATTTTAAGCTCAGGTCTCAAAAACCAAAATACTTCGAGGTTGTCTTTGGCATTAAGTCATTAAACTTGGAACACCCGTCTGAATTCAGAAAAAGACCCAAAGACCACCTACCTACCTAAAGCATGGTGTGACCATAAACTTCTAATCTGAAGACATGTCTTGATATATTCAAAGGACCCAATGTTTACTCACTACTCACAGTAATATTGTTTTAGGACATTTTGTAATATATATAAAAAATAACAAAACTGTATAAACAGTACATCTCAAACTAACTTAACACACAGTTTCTGCTGAGTGTTAGGGTAAATACAGTAGTCCCTCACTACTTTGCAGTTTGTTTTTTGCAGATTCGCTCTATTGCGGTTTTTCAAAGTAAGATTGGACATGACACACAATTGGCTGATTGATGAGCCACATGATTTTTATTTAAATTGAAATTATTTACCACCTGTGGGCAGCCGACAGCTGTAGGATAAGTTTCCTCCTACAGCTGATCGGCTGATCTCCGTGCAGAGTGGAGAAGTGGGTGTGGCCAAGAGTGCAGCAGGAGGCAAGGAGCTGAAATCATGACATTCTGTGCTCTTTTAGAGCGTTTATAGTTTAGAAACATTGTTTAGAATATTGCAAGAGTGT